ACTTTACACCTAAAAGGACTAAGCCATGCTTATTTAAAAAATGAAATCGATTTTTCGGTACCGGGTACCCATTAAAAAAAAAAAGATTTTTTTTTACATTACATTTAAAATAATATAATAATAATCACTGTTAAGTAAGTAAGTAATAATAGCTGTTATATGGTAATAACATATAATATGTTAATAAAAACCGAACTAGTTGTTACAATCACTCAGTTTCAGAGTCCTCAGAAGAGGAGGAAGTGATCACTGATTCAAATGATTCCATGCTTTTGTCTGCTTCGTCACTTTCAACAATGTATTTATTAAAGCTGAGATCAGAACCCTTTAAATATTTGTTTCTCTGTTTTATATTTCTTTTAAATGCAACTAATGGATCTGACGATAATATCAAACGAGTCATTAAATCCGTATTGCTTTATACTCTTCCAGTTTTTCGAGAATGATTAAGCCGATATTTTCTTATGTTTTTGTGTGAACATTCTAAGGCTTCTTCTGATAATGAACCTGATAAAATAGGTGGAAATACAGATTAAGAAAATAAATGAAAACATAGCTTTAAAATCATTACCTATTGGTAAATCAAAGTATTTAATTACATCACATCCATGTACTAAAACTTTATGCACTGAACTTGGCATGTTATACCAACCATAATTTCTAAGGTATAACTCTCTTGTTTCGTTCAACAAAACACTAAACTCTTGGGTTTTTATTTGTTTTCCACAAGAGAGGACTCTTAGCACCAGAGAAAAATTATGGATTAGAGACTTATCCAGACGAGTAATTTCTGCGGCTACGTCAATATTTTCAAAAAAACGTCGAGCTGTGTTTCCATCATTTGTTGTTCCAAACCCTTGCTTGACTTGGTCAATTATCAAACCTGTTTTAATTTTGAACTCTTTTTGGATACGGACTTTAGTTTCAATAAATTTAGCCTTATTTTCCATTCTGACTTGCCATGTCTTAAAAGGCAGACGGTAGGCTATGTGTAATAGACATTCAAAGAATCGAATCCAGCAATGGAGAGTTGATAACCCAAATTTATAATGATCTGGATTTGGTATTTTGTTTTGTTCAATATTATTCATTTCTGTTGGGCTTGCATGACATATGAAACATCTGCTTGAGGAATTGGTGTTTGTTAAAACATTAGCTACTGCACCGTCAATCATAGTGCAATGCATGATGTAGGAAACTTCAGCAATTCCCTTCTTATTTTTAAAAATATCACATTCCAAATCATTAATCATCTGAATTATTTTATTACATTCTGAATGAATTACCGCCTTTCCTTCTTTCGTATAAACGAATTTCACTGGTCTACAGAACAGCGTAGAAGAGGGAGTTCGGTTGACCCATATTTCATTACCTGATGAGGAATCGATGAGCCTTAAAATGTGAAAAAATTTGGAAAATAGAGAATAGATACATAAGAAAATAATTGATTTTATACGAACTTAAGTGGTAACAAAGCAATTACGAAAATAAATTCATCTGAGAGGTCTTCCGCGGAGAATTTTTGCTTATATCGACTGTGGCCAGAACTGCCATCCATTCCCCATTTACATATAAGTGAAAGTTTGCCCACTGGGTGTTTGTCTGCACAAACTTTTAAGATGTGTTTGGATGTAATATGTACAAGAGCCTTTAAATTAACTTCTGCTGAAGTTTCCGTCGCTTCTATATGTGGTACTAAACTTTGTTTTAATTGGTTTAACGCATACGTGCTTGGGAAAAAATCCGCATGTATATTGTTAGCAACTTTGCGTAGTCTATTATATTTTTCTTCCGATAAATCTAAATCTAAACACAAGGCCAGCGCTTCAAAGGGTTCAAGACACTTCTTTATAGTGTTATCAGGCTTCGTTTCATTTTTTGTTACTTTCCGTGCTGCATAAGTAATTTCTTCCGCACTATGTTCTTCAAGTATTTTAAAAGGGCGCCCATCGCTGTTTTATATTTTAAATATTTGTTTTTTTGTGTAAATGGGTAGAAAAAATATGTCAAATACAATTTATTCATGAAATTTTAAACTCGCGTTGAGCAACATTTTCCACTAATAGTAAAACGTTGAAATTTTTGCACAGGTAATGTAATTAGTTAGGTGAACAAAATTATAAAAAGACTCAATCAAAAAAAAAAAAAAATATAAAAAAATTGGACCTCCCTGATGTGCATACATTTGTACTATCATTTTCGCAAGCTGTTTTTGTTTGCTGCTTAAGCAAAATAGTACTCTTTATGCAGATGAAGAGTAATAGGTATGTTATTTATTATACCCGAGCGCACTTGTGCACAAGGGTATTATAACTTTGTTCACATAACGTTTGTTTGTAACAGGCAAAACGAATCGAGATAGATATAGACAAATGTATACATAAATGATCAGAATGAAAAGAGAAATCGATTAAGCGGTGACTGTCTGTCCGTCCGTCCGTCCGTCCGTCCGTCTGTGCACACGATAACTCGAGTAAAAATTGAGATATCTTAACGAAACTTGGTACGTGAACTTCTTTTGGGCGTGGGACAGATGGTATTGAAAATGGGCGAAATCGGATAATAACCACGCCTACCTCCCATATAACGGTAATTTTAAGAAATACGAAAACTGCGATATTTTAGTAACTACTGAAGCTAATTCACTCAAAATTGATACTTACAATGAGTTTCAGACGGAAAATATGAATATTATAAATTTTTGGAAAATGGGCGTAGCCACGCCCACTTATGTTTACATGTGTGTATCTTGGTAACCGCTGCACCAATTTCTTCCAAACTTAGCACGGTTGTTGGCCTTAGTACAGCTTACTAAATGGCTGAAAATTTTAAAAATCGGACAATAACCACGCCTACCTCCCATATAACGGTAATTTTCAGAAAAACGAAAACTGCGATATTTTAGTAACTACTGAAGATAATTCACTCAAAATTGATATTTGCAATGAGTTTTAGACGAAAAATAAGAATATTGCAAAATTTTGGCAAATGGGCGTAGCCACGCCCACTTATGGTTACATGTGTATATCTTGGTAACCGCTACACCAATTTCTTCCAAACTTGGCACAGTTGTTGGTCCTGATACAGCATACCAACTGGCCGAAAATTTCTAAAATCGGACAATAACCACGCCCACATCCCATATAACGGTAATTTCGAGAAATACAAAATCTTCGATAAATCAGTAAATATTGAAGCTAATTTATTCAAAATTGATGATTGCAACAATTCTTTACCAAGAAATACGTTTATGACAAAATTTTGGAAAATGGGCGTAGCACCGCCCACTTGTGATCACATATATGTATCTCGCTAACCATTCTAGCAATTTGTACCAAGCTCGGTATGGTTATTGTGCTTGCCACATAAAAGCAAACCGTTGAAAATTGTTGAAATCGGACTAAAATTGAGGCCGCTTTTCATATAACGGTAAATTTCAGATATGCTTGAAACTGCAATATTTCGAAATTTAAGGACGCTAATTTACTTAAAATGTATACACCCCGGCTTATCATGTAGCGGTAGCTTTCGGAAAGGTGGAAAACATATATTTAATACTTGCGCCGGGTATTTAATGTTCGGCTCCGCCCGAACTTAGACTTTCTTACTTGTTTTCATTAAAAATTGAATTGAAACCGAAAACAGGAATACGTTGGCTAAAAAGACGATTGGACATTTAATCTGCAAATACTTTAGTAACAAGTAATTTTTAAGTATAAAAAAAACCGACAACAATTCTCATATACAAATTTTAGATTATCGTTAATTACCTCATGATCCGACGATCGGATCTAAACCAAATTAATATGGGACCACCTGTGAGGTAACATCTTTCCTTTAAAACAATAGAAATCGGTTAACGTCGTCCAAAGTTATGCGGTTACATACAAAAAAAAAAAAAAAAATATTCCGACGAACTGATAACCTTTCTCTTTTTTGTGAAGTCGGTTAATAAAATATACTGATGCTTTGTATTTTTGTAATTCAGGGTTAATGATTGAACAAAGATTTTTGTTCATACGTAATTTTTTGTTTATAAACTGCACAAGTACTCTCGGGTATGCAGTTTTATAGTCCACTAAATTTTGGTATAATAAAGTGGAAGTATGCAATGGCTGAAAATCGCGTTAATTTTTGGGAACTTTTTTCGTTGAAGGTGTTGCACTTCTTCTTCTACATATATAAAGCATACTCAAATTATTTGAACACACAATTACAATATGTATAGAAAAAAGGCAAAAAAAATAAAAAATATTAAAAATCAACGGGAAAACGGGCTAGGAAGCCACTTTAAACTTGCACTTTATTATACTACAATTGAATGGACTATAAAATGCATATCCGAAAGTTTTCAAAAAATTCTGACAACAAAGTTTTAAATTTTAATGAAAATTTGTTGTAGAAAGTTTGAAACTTTGATATTTAGGGTTTTGGTTTTTGAATTGACTATATTTTTATTAAAAAGCTAAAATTTGTC